CGTTTACCAGATGGCGGCCTTTCAACTGGTATTCTTGGCAGTATCTCATCAGTCAAACACCGACCTGCATCTTTGGAACTGATCGAGTGAGGCGTACGGCACTGAGGCCCATTTATTCGTGTCGTTATAGTACATGAAGTTTTGCCATCCGCTGGCAAGGCTGGCTGACGATTGCTCGAGGAATTTTACACAGACAGGTTCCCCTAATTCAGTGCGGCTTTTTGTCAGTGTTCTCTTCTTGATTTTGACGAACCGACGTCTAACCACAAGGCAGCTCTGTCATTGGCGGCCTTTCTTTTTCATAGAGGCGGGTCGCTTTTGCCTCTATATGAAACTGTTATTGAACATTGTGACTTTTTCTCTGAGGATCGAACTTGTTGAGCTCGTTGCCGGGTGTACCTTGGTGGTCACGCAACTGCCCGTCCGAAACTGATTATTTGTTATAGCTAACCTCCATAACTGAAGTCGTTCTACTGTCTACGACCCAAGGACACGCCAGATGGCCAGTAGCTAATCACATTGGGCAAATGACATATTAAGGAATGTCATATTAGTGGCTTGTGATACCTTAACATTTACCTTGTGGTACATTAACTTTGCACGCGTGCGCACACATAAACGTAACTTTATTTGAATTCCTTTGCCTTGATATGCAACATGTAGCACGAAAAAGCATTACTTCCGAGGAAAGACTTAATCCGTTTAGGGGAATTATGCATATTACCACGTGGATGTATGCCAAAGATTTAAGGAATAATCCTCTTCTGCATCGAATGTTAAATTGTGCTACTGGTCATTGTCTTTTTGGTGGATCGGTGGCGGTGAAATTTTTATGCAATCAAGTTCAGGGTCGGTAGAAATCCACTTAAGTTTGGTACTACTTTAATGATTATTAGTGACATTTAGACAGTTTCAGCATTCCTGTCAGCCGTAAGCTAGGCAATGAGCTTGAGCAAGGGTTTAAATTGTCATTTCGTCGAAAGGCGTTTCCGCTATACAGTTAAAATTTTTTGATGACCACATTCC